GTTGCTGGGGATTGAACCCAGGGCCTTGTACATATTGACAAAAGAGCTTCACTGCTGAACCACATCCCCAACTCCAGTGATTTATTTTTTCCTTTTTTTTTTTTTTTGTGGCCAGCTCAGCCTGCCTAAGCTTGCCTAAGTAGGTGCTTTAGATCGCTGTGCTATCTCCCTGGCCCCCAAGTGATTGTTTTTAAAGCTTCTTACGTAATTCAAAAATAGAGAATGAGATTAGTCATTAGATGCCATTATTAAGGACTCTCCAGTTAGACTGTATAGGTTATAGGGCAATAGTCAAGGGACCATCTCTGTGAGGTCCTGGGCCAGAGGGGATGCCTCAGCGGAAGAGGCTGCTGTGGAGCCATGGTGATGACTCGGGATCCACGCGCTGCTTCCTGTGTATCACCTTCTCCCACTGCAGTGAGTGAGAGGCAGGCGCATTACCAGGCTTCCTGATTTTGGCATAGGAGTCACTGAGGGACAGGCGTAGGTCCTGTCCTGAAAATGTAGGTGCTATAAGCCAGACTTGGCGGATACAAGCTTGATGTAAAGGCTCTGGGTTCAGTCCTCAGTATTGCACACGCCCCAGCAAAGCATGTACGTGGGGGAATTTAGAAGGCTCATCTGTTCTCCTTGCCCTGCTCCACACACCCTGCCACATCTCGGGGCACTGATCTGTGCTGCTCTTGACTTTGTCCCCCACGATTGGGGAAGCCCATGTGTCCTTGGGAAGGGAGTGTGAGGGTGGGGTCTGGGCTTCACTGGACCTCTTTCCTGCAGGTGGCACGAGGTATTCTTTAAAGTGAAGAAAACCATCGGGGATGCTCCAGGCGGGCCATCCAGCGCCTACCTAGCCGACACCACACATACCTCCTTGTATATGGTGAGACCCGGTGGGAGCCAACCAGATGACCTGGTGCAGGCAGGGCTCGGACATGACACTGCCTCCCCCTCACAGGTGGGCTCCACCCTAAGCCCTGTGCCCGCAAGTGCTTCCGGAGGGCCTGGTCTCTGGAACAGCTTATCCCCTCCCGGCCTGGAGGCCTTGGTAACTGCGCTCTGCACTGCCCTGAAGCCCCGTCTGCAGCCAGGGTACGTGAGGCTGTGCCACAGGGCTCTGTCCTGCTTAGGATATGGGGTGAGGGGCAGCCAGAGGACAGTTCCTAGTGGTCCGCTCAGAGCTACTGGGCCTAGCATGGGCCCCGACCTGCTCTATTCTGTAGTAGACTTGCAGGTGTTTCCTGAACATCCTTTGCCTGCCCCCTCACCTAGTCTGTATGGGGAAAGATCTTCCTCCCAGGCAGCTGTCTCTGGGGTGGCCTTGCCCTCGGACACCCGCTGGCCAGCCTGGCCCTGAGGTCATAGCATCTAGCACCAGAGGCCCAAGTGCAGATGCATACCCCTGCTGATGCTGCTCAGCACTGGGGGCCGGCCCTCCTGAAGGCACAGCTAAGCAGGGCCCTGGCCTGGCTGAGGGTACATCCCGTGCCCTGGCCAGAGCTCCAGAGGCCTCACCAAGCAGAGAGGACAGGGCCAAGGATCCCTGTGTCATAGGGACCCCACCAGGGATCTGTTCTCTGTTTGCAGGGGCGTCCTGCTGACAGGTACAAGCTGTGTTCTCCTGCGGGGCCCCCCAGGCAGCGGAAAAACCACAGCAGTGGCCGCTGCCTGCAGTCGCCTCGGGCTGCACTTGCTAAAGGTGAGGGTCTCTGGCTCCCCAGCTTCGGACAGCTCTTCCTCCTCTCCTCTCCCCAGACATGTTCCCACAAGGCAGAGTTGCAGGGTCCTAGCAAGGGAGGCCAGGAAGTAGGCAAGGCATCCAGAGGTGGGTCATGGTCACTGTTCTTGTTTCACCCAGCCCTGCCCTCCAAAGACAGCCTGTGTGTCCTGATTTTTCTGTCCCTGTCCCCCATCATGCCTGTCCCTTGCACACAAACCCTTAACGTGCACCCCACCCCCCAGGTGCCCTGCTCCAGCCTCTGTGCAGACAGCAGTGCCGCCTCAGAGGCAAAGCTGCAGGCCGCCTTCTCCCGGGCCCGCGCCTGCCGTCCTGCCGTCCTGCTGCTCACAGCTGTGGACCTGCTGGGCCGTGACCGCGACGGGATCAGCGAGGACCCTCGGGTGGTAGCTGCGTTATGTCACCTCCTCCTTGATGCGGACCACCACAGCAGGTGTTTGCTTAAGGGCTGAGCCCAGCCTTCTTCCTACAACACCCCAGGGGCTTCTCGGAAACCCATGTGTAGAGGGAGGACGTGGCTGGGCATTTCTTGGGGATGCTGATTGAAGGAATGTGCAACATCTGCCCACAGTGTGTACACCCATGGCAGGAGGGGGTGCAGGTCCCCCATCCCTGCCACCCCACTCCCCTGACCCTCGGTCCTGTGCCCACCTCCAGCTGCCCTCCACTGATGGTTGTGGCCACCACAAGCCGGGCCCAGGACCTGCCTGCCGACGTGCAGACGGCATTTCCCCATGAGCTGGAGGTGCCGGTGCTGTCTGAGGGCCAGCGGCTCAGCATCCTGCAGGCCCTCACTGCTCACCTGCCCCTGGGCCAAGAGGTGAACCTGGCACAGCTGGCGCGGCGGTGTGCAGTGAGTACCCTGCAGGGACCAGGGTAGATGCCGGGGGTTGTGCCTGCTCACCATGCCTGCTCAGGTTCCTTCTGTGGCTCCCTAGGGGTTTGTGGCAGGGGACCTGTGCACCCTTCTGACCCACAGTAGCCGGGCAGCCTGTGCCAGGATCAAGAGCTTGGGGTAAGAGGGGGGTGAGAGAGGGGAACTGGTGGGTGGGCTTGGCTTTGCAGGAGGCCCTCAGCCTACCTGTTTCTCTGCAGTTCAGGGGGCAGCCTGAGTGAGGAGGACGAGGCGGAGCTGTGTGCGGCCGGCTTCCCCCTCTTGGCCGAGGACTTCGGGCAGGCGCTGGAGCAGCTGCAGACAGCTCACTCCCAGGCTGTGGGGGCGCCCAAGGTGGACCCTCCCCACCCCATGCTTGGATCCTGGGAGAGGGGCACAGCGCCCCCACATGCACACCCCAACCCTGTGTTCCTTCCCTAGATCCCCTCAGTGTCCTGGCATGACGTGGGCGGGCTGCAGGATGTGAAAAGGGCAATCCTAGAGACCATCCAGCTCCCCCTGGAGCACCCAGAGCTGCTGGGGCTGGGCCTGCGCCGCTCTGGCCTTCTGCTCCATGGCCCCCCAGGCACTGGAAAGACTCTGCTGGCCAAGGCGGTGGCCACAGAGTGCAGCCTGACCTTCCTCAGGTGTGTAGGTCAGCAGGGGTGGGGGACATGAGGGCCTGCCCACCAGGCAGCTGTGCCCAGCTGGCCACTTGCTCTCACAGTGTGAAAGGACCGGAGCTCATCAACATGTACGTGGGCCAGAGTGAGGAGAATGTGCGTGAAGGTGAGTGGTTGAGACAGCCTCCGGCGCTCCCCATCTCCCTCGGGCACTGAGTCCTCACCACTGTCAGGCCCCTGCCCAGCCAGGTCTGGGCCCTGGGATACCATACCCTGGCTCCCTACCCTCCCTTGAGTCCCTCGCACAGTGTTTTCTAGGGCCAGGGCGGCTGCCCCATGCATCATCTTCTTTGATGAGCTGGATTCCTTGGCTCCAAGCCGTGGAAGAAGTGGGGACTCTGGAGGTGTGATGGACAGGTGAGTGGGCCCAGGATCAAATCCCTGGCCTTTTACTTCTGGATAAAATGTAGAAGATGAGAGGAGCCCCTAGAGGAGAGAGTCCTGAAACAGCAAAAGGGTAGGGCTGGAGTGCAGCTGGGCCCGTGGCTGAGTGGCCAGGAAGAGGTGGGGCAGAGCCTGATGACAGACTTGGGACTCTGGCCTTGCTCCCTCCCTGCAGAGTGGTGTCTCAGCTCCTGGCCGAGCTTGATGGGCTTCACAGCACCCAGGATGTGTTCGTGATCGGAGCCACCAATAGACCAGACCTTCTGGACCCGGCGCTCCTGCGGCCTGGCAGGTGGACCTGAGAACTGCTCGCCCTTACTGGCCCTACTGGGGCTGTGCCCCATTCTATACCTCTGTTATCCCTTGTGGCTGAAATGCTTTCACTACCTGTCTCCCTAAGATTTGACAAGCTGGTGTTTGTTGGGGCGAGCGAGGACCGGGCCTCCCAGCTACGTATTCTGAGTGCCATCACGCACAAGTACGCACTGGGCCTGGGGTGATGAGGGGGTGCGCGGTGTGCTGGACAGCTGCTTAGTGCTGGATCGCAAAGGAGGAGGGTGGTGACACCAGCGGGAGCGACTCTTGTGCACACCAACAGGTTCAAGCTGGAGCCCTCGGTAAGCCTGGTAAGCGTGCTGGACCACTGCCCGCCCCAGCTGACAGGAGCAGATCTTTACTCGCTCTGCTCTGATGCCATGACGTCTGCCCTCAAACGCAGGGTTCATGACCTGGAGGAAGGTGAGCCCCTTGCAGCCCTGGAGCCCAGCCAGGAAGCCAGCGAGGGTGCCTCGGGGCTCTGAGCAGGAAAGTCCTTTCCCAGCATCTCCCACTTTTGTCTCCTGTAGGGCTGGAGCCTGGGAGCTCCACCCTGTTGCTCACCATGGAGGACCTGCTACAGGCTGCTGCCCGGCTGCAGCCCTCTGTCAGCGAGCAGGAGCTGCTCCGGTACAAGCGCATCCAGTCCAAGTTTGCTGCCAGCTAGGAGTCATCAGATGCTGGCACCTACCCACTGTGGCCAAAGGTACCTCCAGGCTCCTCAGAGCCCCAAGAGGAAAGGACTTCCTCAGGATCTGCCCATCTAAGAGTCGCTTCCCCTAGGGGGTGCCCTCAGTGCAGAGATGTCAGAGCCGCGGTACATGTTCAGGGCTATCTCCTGCTTTTTTCAATGCCAGCCTGAGACTGCCAGCTGCTGCTTAGGAGGCCTAGTCCCAGGACAGCCCTGCCTATTTTGCAGCAGAAAATAAAGTGTGTGCTTCCCCCTGCTGGTGGTATGGGGAACTGCATGGGAAGAGGGCGATGCTCCCAACAAGAAACACAGGCAGGATTTTGACTGACACAGCTTGTATTACATTGTTTCTGCCCCGCTTGGAAGAGCCACATTGCTGCTCCTGGGGCCACATTCACTCTGTCCTTTTGAGCACATGGATGAAGTAACAGGGGACATAGGCCTGGCCCTGTTTGTACGGCTTGAAGTCGCCCAGGACACTGTGTTGGCACTTGCCCCCGAAGGCTGCTTCGAGCAGTTCTGTGAAGGGCGCCAAGCGGTGTGGGAAGTAGGAGAGCCGGAACTTGCTGCGCAGGGTAGCAGACAGTGAGGCGGCAGCCTCGGCTCCCCACCACCACCCCTGCCCAGCCAGGCACTACCTGAAGCCCGGGGCACCATCCCGGCCAGCATCTGGCACTTGCACAGTGTAGTCCAGTGTCACCATGTGAGCTTTGTTGTTCACCGTCAGCACCGATGTCGTGATATCCTTGGTCAGGTCACTCTAGCAGCAGGTCAGAGCTGTGTTAGCCTCTGCAGTGCCAGGGCTGTGGACCCAGCTGCACCCGCCCCAGAGCCCACCTTGTAGTAGATGTTCTTCCCTGGAGGGGCACAGCCTGTGCTGAGGATGTAGTCATAGTTGCGATGGTCGATGACCAGCAGGCCGCCTGGCCGTACCATGCTCGCGATGTTCCTGAGCGCCAGCCGGTGCTCGCTCTGGTCACCTGGTCTCCAGGCAGGGTAGAGGCTCTGTCACCAACCTCCTTCCCACATCTCCCTCCAGGGCCAGAAAGGAACATCCGCTCACTCTAGAAAGGGGGCACCAGGGCCACACCACTCACCTTTGCAGTCTGGCAAGTGGGCAAAACTATTCCCAAGGCAGATGACGGCATCAAAGCCGCCACCATCCGGCCGGCATATGTCTTTGTCCAGAGTCATCCAGTTGGCTTCCTCAATGACTAGGAGACAGGAGGGGGAGCAGAAAATAATAGCATCTTGAGGCCAGAGCTGTCAGCTCCTTTGAGGGCATTTCTTCAGAGTGTTGGGCTCCCGCTCAGCTGAGAGGGCCTTTGGTGATGGGGAGACTGGGCAGGAAGGAGGGCTGTATGCTTAGGGGCTGTGATTGGGAAGGGGAGACTGCAAACACAGGTCTGTGAGCTCCACGCCAGGCATGGGGATGGACACCATCTACATTGGCCAGCGTGAAGGCTCTAGGTTCAGAGTACCAGAAAGCCAAATCAAACCACCTAATGCTTCAGATCCACTGTTCTCACAAGTCAGAGGCTGCAGCAGGGGAATGCTGAGCCCAGCAATTCAGAATCAGTCTGGGCAGCCAGCAAGATACCATCCCAGGGTCTGGGCAGATGCCTAGGCTCCCCATATTCCTTATTTTACTTTTTTCTGTCTTTAAAGAGACAGGATCTCGCTATGAAATTCAGGCTGGCCTTGAGCTCACTTTGTAGCCCATCCTGATCTCAAACTTGCAACAATCTTCCTGCAGTCCTCCTGCCTCAGCCTCCGGAGTGTTGGGATTACAGGCATATACTGCCACACCTGGCTGTCATATTCTTGGGAAGCTGAGACAGGATGATTGAAGGTTGAAGCCCTGTGTGGCCACTTAGACCTATGCTGTCTCGAGAAAGGCCAGGGAAGTAGTTCAGTGTGGAGTCCTGGATTTGGTCCCCAGAACTGAAAATAAAGTCTAGCTCTTGATCTCTAATGCCACTTGTGAGACCCACGTTTCCTCTAGGGAAATAACAGTAATGTTCCAGGCTGAAGAGGTGACCTGGGTGTCCAAGGCTTCCCAGAAGGGACAGGCATACCCCACTTGTCAAAGGCTGGGTCTCGCCGCCGGTTCCAGCGCTCTTTCAACGCGTACTTGAGCATCTTGTCGCTGGCATCCACACTTGTCACACTGAAGCCCTCTTCCACCAGCATGATGGAGTCCACCCTGGGAGAAGGGCAGGCTGGTCGGGGAGGTGTGGGCTGCAGGCTGCACCTCTGCCTCCTTTTCCTGACTGAGGACCTCACACATCTGTTCACCACCAGACTTTTTTTTTTTTTTTTTCCTTTGATAATACACCTTTTCAGAGCTGGGCATTAATGTTTGAGGCACCCCTGCGAGGTATAAGGATCATCCCCTTGTAAAAGGGGCAGTGGAGGCTCTGAGGTGCCCTAGGGAGGTGGCCTGTAGCCCCTGGTGGATGCTCGCAGGTCTGAGAAACTTGTATATGAATGTTCCTGGCGCCGGTACCCTGCTCAGGTACATGTTCTTAGCCGACCGAGGCCATTTCTCCGAGGGACAGTGGTAGAGTGAGAAGTCTACTACTGGCCCCGAACTCCAGCCATAGCAGTAGGCCTGGGTCCCCACCCGCGCTTCTGTTTGCCCTGCTACTCACCCAGTGCCACAGGCCACGTCCAGCACTCGCTGACATCCGTGCTGGCGCAGCAGTCCCAGTAGCCACGCTTTGTACTCAGCCGTGCGGCTACGCGTGTCCCCAATGTATAGTTGCCACACGCGCGCCGCCTCCCCATCTGCATACTGGTCCGGGAGCCCCTCGGCTGCTACGCCTAACGAGCGGGTGCGGTAGACGCTGTCCACCATCGTGCCTCCTTCCAGCACCGCGGCCCAGCCACCAGCCGCGCCAGCATTTATCCGAGGCCCGCACCACACTTGACCAATGGCAGTGGAGCGCGGAGACACACCCCCGCCTGGCTCCCTCCTCCCTTGACCCCAGCTGCGAAAGGTGGAACAATTACCCAGCTTACTGGGTACTTACCCGCCCACTTCACTCCACGCAAGCTGATTTTCTTTTTAAAACTGGGGCGCTATCTCTCTGGCTCCACCCCACCCAAGTTGAGAAAGGAAGCAAATTTCAAACTCCACGCAGACTTGATCCCCCCTGTGCCGGCGGGCTGGACCGGCCCACACAGAGGAAGGAGGAATGTCCCGCCTACTGAGGGAGGCCACCTGGGCACGCAGTTGTGCTGGCAGAGCCCTGGCCTTAGGAGCCACAGCCCGCCTGGAGGCCCCAGCGGCACGCTCCTTGAGTTCAGACCTGGTCTGACATGGTGGTGCACGCCTGGAATCTCCCCAGGGAACAAGGCAGGGAGACCAATCTGGGCAATTAGGAGACTCTGCTTCAAAATCTAAAAGGGCTGGTGTGCAGCTCCATCAGGGAGCACCTCTAGGTTTGACCCTTATATTCCAGCACTACAAAGAAGAAAACGAACCAGTAGTCCTAGCCCCAGAGAGATGAAAGGGCCACTGGAGGCCAGCCTGGGTGACACAGAGCCCACTTCGGAAAAGCAAAACGAAAGAGTCCTCCCTTCCTGCTGCGCCCTAGAGACCATCTGCCGCTGGCTCACATCTGTAATCCCAGCACTGTGAGAAGCAGGGGCAGGAGGATGGCAAGTTTGAAGCCGGCCTGGACAGTCTAGGGCTCATTGCAGAGATCCTTGGTTCCTCCCCCAGAAGCACTTAAATAAACCACTGGCCTTCTGCAGGGAAAGATGGGGGGGGGGGGTCATTTTATGGCACCTGCTGCTACACTGCTCTCGGTCACACCCCAGGCCCCGTGGTAGGGTTGGTCCACATCCCTCTTCCGCCCCAGAGCAGGTTTCTCAGATTTCTTTCCTGCTGCAGAGCTCAAACATGTCACCAAACAAATCCAAGATCTGCAGAAAAGCCATGTGCCAGGCCGGCGAGATAGCTCAGAGGTCTAAGCACCTGCTTAGGCAAGCGCCGGGACCAGGGTTTGATCCTGGTACCACGCGCCGTGCCAGCCCCACACCTGGGCGCACTGAGCCAGCCACCAAGACTGGACATAGTGATGCACACCTGTAATCCTGGGCTGCATAGTGAGACCCTGTGCCAAATACATAAAAGAGAGAGAGAGAGAGACAGACAGAGACAGACAGAGAAAGGAAGGAAAAGCCACCTGACTCTGTGCTTGTAGCCTCAGAATGAGAACAAAGGAACCTCTTCTCCCCTAACCCTTCTACCTCAGCCGCAACCTGGAGCTGGAGGGAGACCCCAGATGCTCTGATTGTCTGTCTCCTTAGCACACAGGTGGTCTCAGTCTTGGACAGGTCGATGGCACCTTGGTCTCAGGCACATTGGCTGAGCTGGGTTGTGTGCACCTATTGTCCCAGCTACTCTGGAGCCTGAGGCAGGAGGATTGACAGTTCAAGGCCAACCTCAGGAACTCAGTGAAACCCTGTCTCAAAAAGGGCTGGAGTGTTGCTCAGAGACAGAGCGTTTTGCTAGCTGGCATGCGTGGGGCTCTGGGCCCCGCCCCTGGCTTTGCAAGGAAAAGAAACAGGTGTGTATGAGGTTGATTCATGGATGAGAACTACAGGGTTGCAGGGTTGCTGTGAAAGTCTGGATGGACAACAGGGCTCCACATGTAAGGGGCTGCCCTTCACACTACAGAGCACATGATGGGTCTGGGTATTTATTTGGCAGTACCGGGGATTGAACTCAGGACCTTGCACTTGCCAGGCAGGCACTTATGTGGCTGAGCTGTATCCACGGCCTTGATCTGGGTATTTATAATGGTAGTTTTCTGGTTGGTACCAATCAAATGCCTTACAAAATTTACATTTAAACAACACTCTAGGTTGTGGGGGCTGAGGCACAACTCCAAGTTTTAACCCAGCTAGGTAAATAAGGGACTTAGTAAAGCCATTTCCAAAATAAAATTTCTTTTAAAGGTTAGGTATGAGCACAAGGTTCTGAGTTCTATTCTCAGTAAAAAAACAAACAAACAACAAAAAAAAAAACAATGAGGTTAGATGTGTTGCTCAATGTGAAGGCCCTGGGTTCAGTCCCAGTATGGATTGGTGGTGCTACGTGGAAAATCCACACAGAGCCACCTGGAGACGAGAGGTAGAGTATTACGAGCTACCGTGGATGAACTCCCAAAAGGACCAGAGACCTCACTCTCTTCCCTTGTGGTTTTTCATCTATTCATTTTGCAGAGCTGAGGTCTAACAAGGCGGACAGTGACCACTGAACTCTACCCCCAGCCCCAGCCAGGGTTCAGTTCTTATCACTGGTCAGTAACCAGCTTGTGGTCTGTCTGCAGCGCTTGTGGTGTGGTTGATGGGCACATACAGAGATGGGTCTGACAAGCTGCTTCTGGGGACAAGACTGCTGCACAGGCGCCCTGTCCCTCTCAGGACAGCCGGGCTCTCGCAAAGACTGGTCTGCAGCTCAGCACCGAGCACTTGCCCGGCACACACAGCACTGGGTTCCTTCGCACGCATGGCAGCAACAACAGACAAGGCAGAGATGTCTGTGAGGTCCAAACACAGCAGGCGTGCAGCACGGCAGCCACCTAAGCAAGCTTCCCAGGTGCCTTGTGCCAGGTGCGACAAGGACACCTTGTTCTGACAGGTTTCTGACATGGGACTGAAACCTGGTTAACTTGAGCCCCAATGTGCAGAGGGTGCAAAAGTGGGGCTTAATGCCCAGATTCAGAAAGACATCTACTTAGGAAGGGGGCTGGATGGAGACAGGCTAGTGCTACCATCTGGGCCCTGGGGACACAGCAGGATCCCTGCCTCAGCAACAGGTTAAAGAGCAAGCAGTCCCAGCACTGTCACCCTCAGGCATGGGGCTACGATTGGGTCCCTGGGCCGACACCCTGGAAGCTGATAGGGCTTTAGGAATCAATGACCTTCTGGGACAGAGGTAGGCCAGGCACCCTGACTCTGTGGGTTGGTGACAGAAAAAGGAGCTCAGAGTGGCTGCAAAATCCAGGCCAGAGCGCTGCAAATTGACTCCTGGCCCAGGGTCCTAGTTCCTCCTGCGCTGAATGCAGGGGGTGGGGTGTGCCTGGACCACAAGCCCCAGCCTCAGCACAGGCAAAGCTGTCCCAGCTGCACTCTCCACCGGCCTGCCTGGGAAGGGTTGCTCCCTGGGCTGGGCCTCGGGCCTCTGCAGTCTCTGCAGCTCTGCAACCCTGGTCGTAGGCAGAAGGGTCCTGTGGGGTGTTCACTGGGTGGAGCATCACCTCCTACTCTCTCGTACCCTCCTCGACTTCCTCACAAGACCACTTGTCTGCCTTTCTGATGCACTGGGGCCAAGCCAGGTGTGGTATAAGTGAGCACTCTGCCTGCCCTGGCCTAGCTGTTCCCATTTGCCTTGGGGGTCTTGCTGGTGTGGTGGGTCAGGCTCAAGCAACTGCACCAGGTCAGTGTGGCTAACAAAGGGCAGGGGCAGGGGGAGGGTCCTGGTGGCCAGGCAAGTGAAAGACGTGGAATCTGAGCCCGAGTCCCAGCTATGCCATTTATGACCAGGACCTGTCGCAGACGCTACCTCCTGTGTGTAGTCAGGGTTTAAATTAAAACCAACTTCTAGGGGCCGGCAAGACAGCTCAGCAGTCTAAAGTGCCTGCTTTGGTAAGCTTAGGCAACTCCAAGGACCCGGTCTGATCCCTGGCACCACACGCTGCACCAGCCCCACTCCCAGAGCAGGTTGAGCCAGCCACAAAAACCACACCACACCAAACCAAACCAAACCAAAAAACTTTTGGTGCAGGCCTATAATCCCAGCACTGGGGAGGCTGAGGCAGGAAGATCACAGTGGGTTCTAGACCAGTTTGAACTACATGGTAAGACTGTCTCAAATAACAAAGCAAAATCCACCATTAACAAGGCCCAGCCCCCTGCCCAGGACAGTCTGGGAGCACCTGTCCACCACCCCATCACCTACAAAACATAGGGTAGGGCTGGCCAAATAGCTCAGCAAATTAAAGCAGGAGCAGGAGCCGGGGGTTCAATCCCCGGGCCTGCCATACCAGTCCCACTGATAGGGGCGCACTGAGATGGCAACTGAGACTGGGTGTGGTGGCGCACACCTGTAATCCTAGCTCATGGGAGGCTGTAAACAGGCGGATCACTACTAGTCTGATCTACCAGTGAGACCCTGAACACCCTGTAGACACTTCCCTAAAAAATACAAAAAAACCCAAAAAACAAGAAATAAAAAAACCACCAAAAAACAAAACAATACAGGATAAACAGGTTGCTGAGGACAGGATATCCTCCTCCTGGTGGTTCTGGCCTCCCTTGAACCTTCATAGATTGAGCAAATGTGATAATCCAGGAATAAGGTCCAAGAATAAGTAGGGCAGACAGAGGTTGGGTGACGGGTTCAGAAAACTACAGGACCTAAGGAAGGTACAGGGACAAGGGGGCAAGAGGTGGTGACTGGGACACAGTGCCTAGGACATAGTACAAAGAACAAGCAGGGGCAGAAGGTGAGGGCAGCCGTCACCCTACCTAGGGTCACAGGAGGTGGGTCAGGGTCACTGTACCTCACCAAGCCTTGCCGGAAGCAGCCCTAGGTACTCCCTGCATTGCCACTTGACAGGGCTGTGAGGGGCAGGAGAGGCCACAGGTACTGCAGGGCCTCAGGGGAAGGATGCAGGAGTCACAACCAAAAGGCCAATAGGTCTTTACTCCCAGAGCCCCCAGAAGGGGTGGGCATGGGGCTGGGGGTACAGTCTTGCTTCTCAGGGTACAGGAGAGGGAGATGGAGACTGGGCACTGCCCTTGAGCTCTGCAGATATCTTGTGTGGTTCCAGTATCTGATCCTGTCCCTCCTGAGTCACACTGGGTCCCACAAGTCCTGACCCTGTGGCCACTTGAAGCTCGGGCCAGGAGGGAAACCGTGGCTGCTGTGTGCCCATCCTTGTCCTGAGCTGCAATGTTGAGAGTGTTCAGCATCGAAGTCAATCAGAGCTCATCAGGGGGGCTGTGTGGGAGAGGTGACGCCTTCTGGATGCCCTCCTCCTCCTCGTCCTTGGCACTGGGGTCTCCCTGGAGCCCAAGCTCCTTCCTCTGCTTGCTGCCGCCACTAGTTGCCTTGGCCTGGCTGCCCTTCTTCTTGGCCTTCTTCTCCCCCAGGGTGGCTGTGTCACCCTTCTTGCCGGACCATTGCTCTGCCAGGCAGCCTGTGGGCAGGCAGGAGAGGCTGGGATGTTGGGAAGGGTGGCTGTGGCCTGGGGACTGAGCAGGACCTCGCATGTCCCCAGGGACCCCTTCATACCCACCCAGCACCCCTCGAGGACTCACTGGTGTCCTTGCCCTTCAGCACATGGTTGGTGCACAGGAACTCTGTGAGGTCCTCTTCCTGGTGGTTCCGGTACCAGTCCTCGATCACCTCCTCAAACTCCTCCACCAACACGTCACACTGCGGGCCACAACACCTGGTCGGCCCAGCCCCAGCACCTGCCTCACTCCCTAGCCCCAAGACTCCAGACTACCTGACAGGCAGATGGCTGACATTCATCTGAAGCCACCAAGCCACCTGGCCAGGAGCACCAACTGCCGCCCTCTCCCTACCTGCTTCTTGAGGTCAGCCACCTCGGCGGAGGTCTCATTCCACAGCTCATAGGGGATGTCCATCACCACCTTCACACCCTTGTGCACCAGGCTGTGCAGCGTCTCGAAGGTCTCCGACATGCCCTGGGGTGGGGGGCACGAGGCTGTGTTCACCCCAGGGACTGCAAGGACCTGGCTGCTGGCCCTCGATCAGCCCTCTCGCCCCACTGCCCATCATCCTGCATCGCTCCCCATCCTTTCCAAGGGATGAGCTATATCCTCAGGCCTTTTGATCTTCTGTTTTCTGAGACAGGGTCTCCCGAGTGGCTATGCTGCTCAGGGTCAAACGTGCCATCCTCTCGCCTCAGCCTTCCAGAATGCAGGGGTTACTGGGTGCGTCATCACAGCCTCTGCCCTGAGGCCTTTTGAACTCAGACTCCCTCTCCAGGAAAAGTGTATGTCAGCTACGCCTTCACTGTGCTGAGTACATCCTTCCTGGTGGGAAGAGTGTACAGCAGGGACATGAAGGAACCCCGCCTTTTTTTTTTGGTGGTACCAGGGATTGAACTCAGGACCCTACGCTTGCCAGGCAAGCACTTACTCTACTGAGCTATCTACCTGGCCCAGGACCCCTTATTCTGTCAAAACTATCTCTGTTTCTGGGCAGGGCCAACACTCTACCTATCTCTTCCAAAGTTACACACACACACACACACACACACACACACACGCGCGCACGCATGCACGCGTAGGGGCTGGGCTGTAGATCAAGGAAGGGTACAGGAACCGCCTGACACAAGTGAGGCCCTGGGTTCTATACCCAGAACCACAAAACAATCTCATAACTATAAACACAGCCTCGGGGCCAGGGAGTTAGCTCAGTAGAATAAGCATTTGCCTGGCAAGCTCAAGGGCCTGAGTTCAATCCCTGGTTCTGCCAAAAAACAAAAACAAAAACAAAAACCATAGCCTCTGCACCACCCGCGCTCTGGACACAGCATGTGGCTTTGCACTTTGCCTGTTTGTTCAGGAGCTGAGCTCATGGGCTGCTACAGTTCTCAGTGACTCTCAGGCTATCAACCCTGCCCCTACTGGGAAGAAGCTTGTTTCTAATTGTTTGCTACAGAACATAATTTTAAACAGGTTTTTATTTTTTTATTGTTTATTTTATTTAATTTTTTTGGCGGAACCACAGATTGAACTTGGGCCCTTGTGCTTGCCAGGGAAGAGCTTATTCCACTGAGCCATCTCCCTGGCCCTTATTTATTTATTTATTTATTTGTGTGTGTGTGTGTGTCCAGCTCAGCCCACCAGGGGGCAGGGCTGGCTGGCATGTGGTGCTGGGGATTGAACCGCGGTCCTTGTGCTGTGCTTAGCTAAGCTTGTTCTAAGTAGGTGCTTTAGACCACTGAGCCATCTCACCAGCCCTATTTATTTATTTTTATTAAGGCAAACATGGACTCATGAGCTAAAGTCAGATAACTTTTGTCTTTCAGTACTGGGGATTGAACCCAGGGCCTTCACACTGAACTATATCTATAGGGCTTTTCCTTTATATTTTATATATTTTGAGAAAAGGTACTAGGGCCGGGGAGATGGCTCAGTGGAATAAGCACTTCCCTGGCAAGCACAACGGCCTGAGTTCAATTCCCGGTTCCGCAAAAAAAAAAAAAAGAGAGAGAGAGAGAGAGCTCCCCCATTCAGTAAGAAAATAATTACAACTGGGCTGGTGAGATGGCTCAGTGGTCTAAAGCACCTACTTAGAACAAGCTTAGCAGAGCACAGGGATCACGGTTCAATCCCCCAGCACCACATGCCAGCCAGCCCCGCCCCCTAGTGGGCTGAGCTGGCCACACACTAAATAAATAAATAAATTTAAAAAATTAAAAAAAAAAAAGAAAAGGTCTCACTAAATTGCCAAGTTGCCCATGCTGGGCTTGAACTTGAGATCCTCCTGCTTCAGCTTCCCAGAGTGCTGGGATTACTGCTGTCCACCACCACACCTGGCTGCTAGAAGGGATCTTAGGGGTAATCTTTAGGGCAGCAGTAGGACCTGTCTGAACAACTTCTCTCCAGGGACAGCCTGCTATGTGCACACAAGGAGCATATTCAGTATGACAAGACTGTCAGGGGTGGGTCGAGGGAGGGCTGTGTGGGCCAGGGGTGTGATGACTGACCCCCCAGGTGGCTCTTGAGTCCTCCTGAGTTCCACACCTCAGTGCGCTGCTGGCTCCAACTAGCACAAGGGCATTAGGCCCCAGTGAATGCTCTGCCTGGGGATTTGTGTCTGAGGAGAGGGACCCTGACAGGAGGCCGAGGCTGTCATGAATGTGCCTAACGCCACTGAGCATGAGGTCACTCAGGAGGGGAGGTGTGCAACCAGCAACTCAAGAGTGGGCTGAGGCAGGAGGGTTCCCCGATGCCCAGCGATCACACCCATACCAGCAGGCGCACACACACACAGGCCTGGGCGAGAGTGCGGCACAGCCCACCTTGGCAAAGCGGTTGCTGCCGGCCCTTTCCTTATGCAGGCTGTAGTCCAGGAGCCGCTTGCAGATGGTCTCAGTGACCTCGATTAACCGCAAGTCCCTGCCGAGACAGCAGCAGAGAGGTGCTGAGTCCCCTCCTGGGGCCCTTGCATCCCTCCAGCCCTGCAGCCCGGCACCCGCGCGGCTGGCTCACCGACAACGGGAAGGCAGAGCTGGAAGGGAGAGAGGTCATCGGGCTGGGGGCTCGGGAGGCTGCAACACAGACCAGAGAGACAGCACGGTCACAGCCCCAGGACCCCAGGCCTCCCAGGAGCCCAGCTCTGCTCTGGCGCGAAGCCACTGCCCCGCCCATCCACTCATTCAGTTACTTTCTTCCCAACTGGGGAGGACACTCAGGGCCTTGTCTGTGGTAGGCAAGTGCTATACTTCGAGTTTTTATCTATTTTTTTTAAAGAATCAAGCAAAGATCTATTACAGACAGAGATAGGAGGGGCTCAAGAGCCAAGTGCCAGTGCTCAGAGAAATGAAGCACGTTTTATTTATACTTTCTAAGACAGGGTCTCTCTAGGTAGTCCAGGCCAACCTTGAACTCACTATGTAGCTTTTTTTTTTTTTTGGATCCGAGGATTCACTATGTAGCATCTACTGGCCTCAAACTTAGATCCATACCTCCGCCTCAGCCTCCTGACTGCCAGGATTAGTGTGCACCACCACATTTAGCTGTCAATTTTTTATTTTATTGGTACCAGCATTCAAACTCACCACCTCATGCTTGCCAGCCAGGAGCTGTGCCACTGAGCTATAGCCCCTCAATTTTTTTTTTTTTTTTTT